ATAATGACTAGTACATCTAATAACGGCTTCTACAGGGATGGTGATGTCTTGCATATGTCAAGAGAAAGGTTATAACTACAGGCCACATATTTAAACTCACCATGTAATCTGCATCACTAATATAAGGATAGAAGAGAAGAGAATCACACACCATGTGTTGGCGCCCATGACACACACCAAACTGTTGTTGTTGTTAAGGGCCCCGAGAGGTGGTGCAGTATTATCCTGCTGCTGCTCCCCACAGGAGCAGTATCACTACATGCTCCACCACTCTCCTCCCGATGAGCTTCATGACTTTGCATACTATACACGTTAGTGACACAGGTCTGTAGTTTAAGGCCTCGTGTCTGTCTCCTTTTTTAAAAACTGGGACTACATTTGTCATCCATACCTCAGGTAGTTGCCCAGTTTCAATGGATGTGGAAGATCTTTGTTAGTGGCACACACAGCATCTCTGCTTCCTCTCTAAGGACCCACAGAGAGATGTCTGGTCCCACAGACTTTGAGGTATCAAGTTCACATAGCAGCTTCTTCACCTCTTCCTCGGTTATATGTACCTCATCCAGCACTTGTTGGTGTACCTCCCTGTTCTGAATTCCTGGAGTCCTACCTGTTTCTACTGTAAATACTTCTTTAAATCTCATGTTGAGCTCCTCACATACCTCTGACTGTTGTTTTCCTCCTGATGTGGCTGTACAACAGCTTCAGGTCAGACTTGACTTTCAATACTATGTCATTTTCGTATTGTGTTTCTATCACAACAGAGCACCTGAGAGGAATCGACAAGGTGGACAGAGAATGTCCCAGAGACGGGACACAACAACAAGAGGTCACACTTGGAAGGTGAAGACTCAGTTGAATCACAGGGATGTTAGGAAGTATTTCCTTAGTTACAGAGTAGTCAGGAAGTTGAATAATTTGGGAAGCGATGTAGTGGAGGCATGATCCATACACAGCTTTAAGAAGAGGTTTGATAAAGCTCATGGAGCAGGAAGAGTGACCCAGTAGCGGCCAGTGAAGAGGTGGGGCCAGAAGCTGTGGCTCGAGCCCTACAACCATAACTAGGTGAGTACACACACACACACACACACACACACACACACACACACACACACACACACACACACACACACACACACACACACAATATATATATCAGTAACAACACTGCCACTAGCCAAAGATTAGAGCCTATGTCATTTTGGCCCACCTCATGGTGAGCGAAAATCACACATGATGCTCTAACCCACAGGAACACGCAATCCTACAAGAATCACACACCTAGCAGAGCTAGGTGTTTTACCGTGATCTGAGGACATATGGTGGTGTGGGTGCCTCTGAGTTAATTTTATTCCACTCCCCGTTTGGTGTACTAGCCTCCACGAGCAGTATTTTATATTATTGTAATCATGATCAAGTGATTTTCGCTCGCCATGGGGCTGGCTAAAAACGACATGGGTTCGAATCCTCGGCTAGTCACAGTGCTGTTATTGATTAAATACCCCTTGTTCGTGGTTACAATAATATATATATTGCTCATGGAGGCTAGTACATCAAACGGTGAGGAGAAATTAGCTCTGAAGCACCCACACCATCAAATGTTCTCGGATCACATTACAACACCTAACTCTGCTAGGTGCGTGATTCTTGTAGGAATGTATGGTCCCGTGGGTTAGAGTATCGTGCCCCTGAAGGAAGGTTCCTTGATGCTGGTGAGGGGCTCTTGATATAGGGAATTGGATCTGTTCTCCAGTTCCCCGAATTACGCCTGAATACCTTCCATATCCCCCCCACAGGTGCTGTATAATCCTACGGGTTTAGCGCTTCCCCTTGATTATAATAATAATAATAGAGCATCGTGGAATTATCGTTCACCATGAGGCGGGCTAAAACATGGGTTCGAATCCTCGGCTAGTCGCCGTGTTGTTATTAAGTCAATACCACTTGTTCGTGGTATTTAATCAATTGAGAGAAACGACTGTTCAATTGCCTCCCAGCATACATAAGGGGGATTACCAATAGACTCCTGGCTGTCTTCAAGAAGGCACTGGACAGGCACCTAAAGTCAGTCCCTGACCAACCGGGCTGTGGTTCGTACGTCAGCTTGCATGCGGCCAGCAGTAACAGCCTGGTTGAACAGACCCTGATCCACAATGAGGCCTGGTCTAAGACCGGGCCGCGGGGGCGTTGACCCCCGAAACCCTCTCCAGGTAAACTCCAGAAATGAAATGTCGATGGGGAACGTCATAGGTGTGGTAACTTTAGACCTGCAAAAAGGCCTTCGATACTGCCAACCACAATATATCATGTAAGAAACTTCAAGCTATTGGTATAGGTTTTGTAGACTTGGTTCAAGTCCTTCCTTAGCAACAGGAGACAAATTGTCAAAATCAACAAAACGGAATCAGAACCCCTGCCAATAGCATGTGGAGTTCCTCAAGGTAGTATTCTGGGTCCCTTATTATTCCTTTGCTATGTTAACGACATGCCTATTTGTGTCAAGTGAAAACTACTGTATGCAGATGACAGTGCTCTGTTAGTGTCAGGTAAAGACCCACAATATATAGCTAATGTATTAACACTGGAACTGGAGTCCTGCAGCAAAGGGTTAGTAGACAACAAACTATCGTTACATCTCGGGAAAACTGAAGCCATTCTCTTTGGCACGAAACATAAACTGAGAAGGGTAAATAATTTTAATGTCCAAGTGTAATGGGGAACCCATCACGTCAGTTTCCTCAGTAAGATATCTGGGAATTCCCTTCGACCCATGCATGTCAGGAGAATTGATAGGGAACACTGTACTAAAGAAAACTAATGCCAGACTGAAGTTCGTCTATAGACAAGCACAGTGTCTACCTACTGAGGCTCGCAGGACTCTATGTCTAGCCCTTATACAATGTCATATGGACTACGCTTGCTCTTTATGGTACTCTGCCTTGACAAAAAAACTGAAGGATAGACTGCAAATCACCCAGAACCAGAGGAGTCGCTAGGGTTGATGTCACCCAGGGCGGAATCTTTGGTGTCACCCGGGGTAGCATTTTTGGTGTCACCCGGGGTAGCATCTTTGGTGTCACCCCCATGAAATCCAAGGGCGGGGGGATATGGGTAGTAAACTCCAGTTACATCACTGCTGCATGACCAGTGACTAATGTTTAGCAACGAGAACGTTTAAAAGCCATAAACCGAACTTTATTAATGATAAAATAAATAATCGTAGTAATATTGAGGAAACATAAACTCAAATACCACTTTGAATACATGCAACAGATCTTACATTTATTCATCTTCAACAATGAAAAAAAAACTTGAAAAATAAAGAAAAATAACTAGTTCCGATTTAACCTTGAGTACAGGTAACATCTCAATGAATCTGACATTTCATTTCCTTGTCTCAATCCTATCCTGCAAAATCATCTATCATATCATTAAAATGAATGATTTTCCCTATATAGGCCTATTTGTACTCTGTAATCCTATAATAGGCTATATAGAAAAGAAGGATTTTTCTTTTAGGTTGCTGCAGCATGGTTTTGGTCATTAGTGTTACCTTCTTCAAAGGCTCTATGGTGTCACCCCCTAAATGGTGTCCCCCCCTAAATGGTGTCACACGCCCCCCCCCCCCGTTACGACGCCACTGCCCAGAACAAAATTGTAAGATTCATCCTGGACCTGGGTCCAAGAGAATATGTAGGCCAGGGTGAATTACAACAATTGGATATGCTGAATGTTGAAGACAGAGTAAAGCAACTGAAGCTAAATCAAGTTTATAAAATTTCTCAATGTCCAGAATATCTTGCTGCCAATTTTGTCAAGGCTGGGAACCGGAGCAATCATAGTACTAGGGGGAGAGAGCACAACTTTGTAGTACCCACAGTCGAGGTCGAGGTTCTGACCTGAGTTTTGGTAAGATGGGAAAAGAAGAAGGATGGGTAAGGATGGAAATGGGGAAGGGTTGGGAGGGTGGTGGGGAGGTTGGGTTTTTAAAGGTAAGTGGCCTAACCACTTTGGTGCAATTTAAATAAGTGTGTGAGTATGTTGTGTTATTCATGAAAAAGTTGGATTCATAAGATAGGTATACTTCCTGCCCATCAACTGCACACCGCTATACCAGCTATATACTGGTGTGCCACTGCATTGGAAGGATGTGTACTGTTTGCAATTGCTGTTATTTTTCGCGCAAGAGGTCGGTCGTAAGGCTGCAGCTGCAGGTGGTAGTTGCAGATCGTTTGAAGGAAGTTGGTTGCAGGCCCGGAGTTGGTTGGTTAAACAGTTTCTGAGGTGGTGTCCTGCTGTAGGATGGTTGCAGATATTATAAGGTTAGTTGTAAGGTGTTGATTGATAGAAGTAGGTCACCCAAAATTGGGAAGCGTTAATCCATGTTACTGGACGTAGAATGGTTCTGGTGGTATTCATTCTTCTGGGAGGTCACTCAGGATTCTTGGTCGAGGGGAGTTCTCATTGTTAGTGGCCAGGCTTCAAACACCTTCTATTGTACAATAATAAAGGAATGGAACAGACTGCCTGCACATGTCAAAGCCAGTCATAGTATGAACCAGTTCAAGAAGAGAGCCAAAAGGTACCTGATGAATGTAGCTACAGAAAAGGAGGGGAATTATTTTTTATTTTTTTTAGCTAACACACGTGTAATTTTGCCTTATTCGTAGTAATGACCCTCGTACTGTAGATAGTCTTAATGACCCTCATGTAGTAGCCTTAATGACCCTCGTGTAGTACATCGTCTTAATAGTATGATGATAAGACATTATCTCCTTTATAATATAAGAATAAGGTAAAAGGACCCAATGGAAATAAGTCACTCTGACTTTTTTGGGTTATCCTAGGTGCTTTACACATATGCTGCTGTCTATGATAATCTATGTAACTGTATTTGTGTATACCTGAAATAAACTTACTTATAACTACAGTGATAGTGAACCCGAGACACTGTGAATCCACGAACGACTTTGTGATCAATCCGGATTCCGCTATCGAACGACCACTCCAATGTTTACATTCTTGTGTGAGCAACGTTGTTATGGTCACGGGAAATGGTCCTTTATTGTTTCTTTAAGAGATGCAGCTATCCGTGTATCGTAGGTGAGCCTTTTAAGTAAAGACCTGTTACTCTGAAATATATACAAAGATTAAATTAAAACGATTAAATTATATATTCACAGGGAGATATTGTACGTACATCAGTTTTAAGATTCTTATTTTTTTTTTATTTTGCTAAGTCATGTACTTAAATTATGTATATCAAGAATAGTTACATATTACACACAGTAGTTATAGATATATATGAAAGTGACAGTTATGAACTGTTATCGTCTTATTAGTCTTAAGTTAATTTTGGCCGAAATGCTATACATACAAAGGGAATTTTAGCATGTACACCAAACTGTTATATTCCTTTGTACAACCATGTGTCATGTCAAAATAAATTATTATGATTATTATTATTATTAATGGATATACAAGGACCCCCATTGAAAATAAAGTCACATTGCTTGAATTTATTGGATTATCCTAGGTTTAGTTCTGCCTAATTTATTGTGTGAAACCATTATAACAGTTTAAATGATGTATAAGGCATTACTAAAAACTTATTTATTAGTAATTCCTCAAAGACAAAATGTATCCATCAGGGCCAAAAATTTTATATACATTTGAGAATATTTGTCAGAGTTCAGAACTCAGTTCGATGAAGAATGTATACCATTTATGTACAGTAGAGCTTAGGTTGTCTTTAATTTTATGGAATTTTATTGTACATTTTAACTGGCATGCTAAGAACTAAGGAACACTGCAGTAAGCTCATGGCTCAGCAGTAGCATTTTGGCTCACAAGTGTAAGTAAGTTTACTAAGGTACAGGCACACATAAATACAGTTACACAAATTATCATACATAGGGCCTGGTGGCCTGGTGGTTAACGCTCTCGCTTCACACGGCGAGGGCCTGGGTTCGATTCCCAGCCAGAGTAGAAACATTGGACGTGTTTCTTTCCACCTGTTGTCTATGTTCCCCATCAGTAAAATGGGTACCTGGGTGTTAGTCGACTGGTGTGGGTCGCATCCTGGGACACTGACCTAAGGAGGCCTGGTCACAGACCGGGCCGCGGGGGCGTTGACCCCCGGAACTCTCTCCAGATAAACTCCAGATAAACTCTAATGTCTAAATTACCTAAGATAACCCCAAAAAAAGTCAGTGACTTATTTCCATTGGGGCCCATGATGGACCATGGTTTGATTCTTGGCCCAGTGGAGATGTTTGGGCATGTCTCCCAGTGGCTATTGCTCTTGTTTATTTAGGAGTAAATAGGTACCTGGGTGTTAGTTGACTGTATACCTGGAGATGTCTGGAGAGGGTTTTGGGGGTAAACGCCCCTGTGGCCCAGTCTGTGACCAGGCATCATGGTGGATCAGGGCCTGATCAACCAGGCTGTTGTGAGTCATATCATGAGAATCTAAGGATCTCAGTGGAAATAATGTACATTGATTGGCTTTGTTGGACTATCCTTGGTAAATCTTGAGCTTCTTAATTAATTCATTGTAAATATTTGTTCAACACATCTACCCTTCCTACATCTTCCTTGTTCCTTTTGTCTTTAACCTAATTCTTTTGATAATTCTTCCAAACATTGGTATACTCAGTAGACTTAATCAATTATAATTCCACTGTATTAATAAAGGGTGTTATACTTTTCCTGTATCTGCACTATTTTTAGAGATGGTTTATAATTATAATAATCATTAATTTTCTGATTTTTATATAGTAACTTTGACTTGTTACAGCTGTGCATCATAGTAATTTTTTTTTCCAGCAGTGATGTAGCCATATACATATTGGCTTTAATGATAATGGCATAAGTTGTATTCAAATGATGATGATGATGACACAAGAAGATGATGATTTAGAGGAGGAACTATGCTGCCTTGATATCCGTGATGATCTTGGGGCAGAAGACAGTGATGTCACTCCTACAAACACTCCTCCGGTACACCCCCAATTCTGTACATTAAAAAGTATTCTACAGGCAAGCCAAATTATGAAGACCACATGGACTGTGGAAGGTATCAATCAATTTTAATTGCTTTAAGATTTGTCACTATTAATTAATAATTGAAAAGATATTTTTTAGTTGAAGTGGAGTACTCTTAAATTATGATTATTCAGACATTATTTTTCTAACATACTGTACTTTAGTTTATACATGTACACTGATATTCACAATTTACATATATTCCATGGAACTTTTGTGTCCAAATTGGGTGAGCCTGTGTGACAAATATGAAAACTTTCAAATCCATGCTTTCCCTGGTATGTCCATATTTATCAAAAGTTTAAGTAGTGTATGTGGTGCTTCCTCATATGGAGGTTTATGCAGCTACTATATTGATTACATTTGTGTCTGTCCAAATTTCTGAACTATTTTTGGCTAATTTTCTGATTTCTTTTACACTACAGTATTATTCATTTTTTCTAAACTTGCTGTTAAAGCAAGGAATAGATTGCATTACAGTTCTAACTCATAGTCATACCTTTGGGAAGTTCTGAGACCATACAGGTCATACAGTGCCTAAGGATTGGGAGGTAATTAGTTTTGATCTAAGGAAGGTAGGGTAGCTTCAATTCCTTGGAGGCACCAAGGCATGCCTCCCCAACCTCCTTAAAGTATAGGCAGGCTAAAAGCCATAAATACACATGGAGGCCTGCAAATGATGATAAGTAGGATGTCAGCAGTTTAGACTGGGACAAAGAAATTTTGTTCTCTAATTAAGGACCTTAATGAATGGAAAGAAGTGCAGTGTGCAATATTTACTTAATTGAGGATTGTCATCCACTTGTATGTTTGTGAAATATATTTTGCATCTTAAGAATTAAAGGGCAGGAATGAAGGGGTTTTAAGAATCTCTAGAGTAATTAATAGATAAATATGTATTAAGAGATTGTGACAAGAGTGTGATGAATGCCACTGAGAGAATGGGAGAATCCTGATATTGTAAAGGCAGAAGATTCAAGATAAATAGCTAATTATTAAAAAAAAAATGGTCATTCAGCTTTATAAATAAAAGGTGTACTTAATAGATACAGGAATACTTTGCATAGCATGATTAATAGGTGCCCATAAAGTTCCACAGTATGCAAAACCACACTGTTTAAAACATTGTTATAGTGTGTTGATTAAATAATCATTTATTTAGGTAGGTTCACAAGCTTCTCTGCATGTCCTCTTCCCTTTCATACTTGTGTATAAAGAAGTACTCTATTTTTTTTTAACAAGTTTGCCGTCTCTCACCGAGGCAGGGTGACCCAAAAAGAAAGAAAATCTCCAAAAAGAAAATACTTTCATCATCATTCAACACTTTCACCTCATTCACACATAATCAATGTTTTTGCAGAGGTACCCAGAATACAACAGTTTAGAAGCATATACATATAAAGATACGCAACATATCCCTCCAAACTGCCAATATCCCCAACCCCTCCTTTAGAGTGCAGGCATTGTGCTTCCCATTTCCAGGACTCAAGTCCGGCTGTATAAAAATAACCGGTTTATGTGAATCCCTTCTCACACTCCAACAGCTTGTCAGATCCCAAATACCATTCGTCTCCATTCACTCCTATCGAACACACTCACGCACGCTTGCTGGAAGTCCAAGCCCCTCTCCCACAAAACCTCCTTTACCCCTTCCTTCCAACCTTTTCGAGGACGACCCTTAGCCCGCCTTCCTTCCCCTACAGATTTTTACGCTCTGTGTCATTCTACTTTGATTCATTCTCTCTAAATGACCAGACCACCTCAACAACCCCTCATCAGCCCTCTGACTAATACTTTTATTAACTCCACACCTTCTCCTAATTTCCACACTCCGAATTTTCTGCATAATATTTACACCACACATTGCCCTTAGACAGGACATCCCCACTGCCTCCAACTGCCTCCTCACTGCAGCATTTACAACCCAAGCTTCACATCCATATAAGAGTGTTGGTACTACTATACTTTCGTACATTCCCTTCTCTGCCTCCATAGATAATGTTTTTTGTCTCCATATATACCTCAACGCACCACTCACCTTTTTTCCCTCATCAATTCTATGATTAACCTCATCCTTCATAAATCCACCCGCTGACACGTCAACTCCCAAATATCTGAAAACATTCACTTCTTCCATACTCCTCCCCAATTTGATATCCAATTTTTCTTTATCTAAATCATTTGATAACCTCATCACCTTTCTCTTTTCTATGTTCACTTTCAACTTTCTACCTTTACACACACTCCCAAACTTGTCCACTAACCTTTGTAATTTTTCTTTTGAATCTCCCACAAGCACAGTATCATCAGCAAAAAGTAACTGTGTCAATTCCCATTTTGTATTTGATTCCCCATAATTAAATCCCCACCCCTCTCCCGAACACCCTAGCATTTACTTCTTTTACAACCCCATCTATAAATATATTAAACAGCCATGGTGACATTACACATCCCTGTCTGAGACCTACTTTTACCGGGAAGTAGTCTCCCTCTCTTCTACACACCCTAACCTGAGCCTCACTATCCTTATAAAAACTCTTTACAGCATTTAGTAACTTACCACCTATTCCATATACAGTGGAACCCCGGTTAACGATATTTTTTCATTCCAGAAGTATGTTCAGGTGCCAGTACTGACTGAATTTGTTCCCATAAGGAATATTGTGAAGTAGATTAGTCCATTTCAGACCCCCAAACATACACGTACAAACGCACTTACATAAATACACTTACATAATTGGTCGCATTGGGAGGTGATCGTTAAGCGGGGGTCCACTGTACTTGCAACATCTGCCACATTGCTCCCCTATCCACTCTGTCATATGCCTTTTCTAAATCCATAAATGCAGTAAAAACTTCCCTATCTTTATCTAAATACTGTTCACATATATGCTTCAATGTAAACACTTGATCTACATATCCCCTGCCCACTCTAAAACCTCCTTGCTCATCCGTAATCCTACATTCTGTCTTACCTCTAATTCTTTCAATAATAACCCTACCATACACTTTTCCTGGTATACTCAGTAAACTTATTCCTCTATAATTTTTAGTCTCTTTAAAAGTACTCATATGTAATAAAAAATGCATTTCACTGCTACACTACTGTTAACCCTTTCAGGGTCCGTCCCGTAGATCTACGGCTTTATGGTGAGTGTCCAAACCGTAGATCTACGCCATGAGCTCAGCTCACTCTGATAAACTGTGAGTGGTACATTTGGGCCTAGATATGAGAGAATACATCTATGTGGTATGTGTGCACCACATAAAACAGATCCTGCAGCACACTGTGTATAATGAGAGAAAAAACTGAAATCATGATTTTTCGATTAAAACAGCGACTTTGCAGTGTTTTTTCGTATGTTTTTTATAGTTGTATTTGCGATTTCTTGGTCTCATTTGATAGAATGGAAGACATATTACAGAAATAGAGATGATTTTGATTGGTTTTAGCACTGGAAATGGCTTGAAACTGAGCTCAAAGTAGCGGAAATGTTAAATTTTTGCCGATATTCAAGAGTAAACATACGTCCTCACACATCTAATACACGTCAGCTGGTGGGTCTAATATACATTCACAAATATGGTGATGATATTTATACAATTATTACAGTATTGCATAACAGTAAATCTTCTATTTTTTGGTGTGAATAAAAATTCATTATGTGAATAAAAAATCAAAGTGGAATTTATTTGTAAAGCCTCAAAATGTAACTAATGAACAGAGGAAATGTTAGTTTAGTTCCAGGAATACCTACATTGTTTATTCTGGAGCCTATTTTGAAATTGGAATATTTTGAACTTTGTGTTAAATTGGCCAAATTAACAATTTCCGATCACTTTATTTTGTAGTTGAAACAGTTGACTTGGTGATTTCTTGTGTTCAATCGATAGAATAGAAGTAATACTAGTGAAATAGCTAAGAATTTGGTTGATTGGAATAATGTAATTGGCCTAAAATGGGAGTCAAAGTCGGCAAAATCGCCGATTCGTGAATATCGCTGGCACATCAAAATTCGCGAGAGCATAATTTCGTCAATTTTCCACCAAATTTCATACTTTTTGTTTTATTACCTTCACAAAAAGATTCTCTATGATTTCATAAGAAAAAATAAAAAAATTTTTTTTTTGAAAATTCTTGGACACTGGTGCATGACTTCAGATTTGGGCCATGGACCCTGAAAGGGTTAAGAAAAATTTGTTAAAAAAATTTTAAATTATAAACCGTGCAATAGCAAAACTGGAACTGTTCAGAACCACGTTATCCAGTGTATTACTGTACTATGATAATAGGTAGTGCTGATAAAGGGCTCTTAAGCCATGGAATTGGAGCTGTTCTCTTGACTCAAACGTGATTGCCTCCCATTTCACAGGTGCTGTATGTTCCTTATGGATTTAGATCTTTCTCGTGAATATAATAATGCTTTACTAGGATCCTCCAAGGGAGTAAGTAGTACCTTGATACTTCTGAAGGGCTCTTCATATAAGGAATTGGAGCTCACTTTCTCTAACTCTGATCAAACTGGATTATATCCCACTCCTCAGTTGCTGTATGACCCTTATGTATTTACCACTCTCTTATAAATACATACTGTTTACTGTACTTTAATAATAATACTACAGTAATATGACAATAACAGAACCTCATGTGCAGTAAAAGTGTTTTTTAAGAGAGAAAGTGAAGGTCAGCTGTGAGGGATTGATGGTGAGCTGTGAGGGAGAGTGAGGTTGAGCTGTGAGGGAAAGAGAGTGAGCTAAGAAGGGAAAATGAGGGTGAGCTGAGAGATAGTGATGGGTTAACCTGACACAGGCTCAAGGCAGCAAACTAAGTTCATTGCATCAGGTGTTTGTTGATTAGGGGTAGTATGTGTGTGTTCACCTAATTGTGGTTGCAGGGGTTGATTCATAATTCCTGGCCCCACCTGTGTGTGTGAGTGCATGTGTGTGTGCGTGTGTGTGTGTGTGCGTATGTGTGTGTGTGCGTGTGTGTGTGTGCGTGTGCGTGTGCATGTGTGCGTGCATTCTCGGTAGGCTCCCCAGACACTTGACTGAGTTTGCTGCATAGATAATTTTGATGCAGTGGATTTTTTGTTTAAATGGACTCCCCATTATTTCATTATACTGAAGTTTCATTGTACAGTACCACATGTTGGATTATGACATTGCCTGCCAGTAATAAATATCTTGTTGTACATTTTAGAATATAGTACATAATTAAGATGTGTTTGGTTAATCTCATTCCTATGAGAAAGAAAATATACTGTTATACCAGATACTATTATACCATGTATGAGAGTTTGGTGTACAGTATATATCACATGTTTTTAAAAGACTGATGATTTTGAGTACAGATGAATGCATTTTTATGGACTTTATTATTTGCATATGGTATAATGTTTTAATATGAATAATATTTTTCACAGATATTCCAAACTTGAAGAATACGACAGCAGAACTGATTCCTCTTTATCGTGGGGAGATGATGAGTTCGAAGGAGAAGCCACAAGACAAGTTGGTCTGCTTTTTGATCAGTTAGATTTTCTTCTTTATAAAGAACATCTACCCCTCTCTCCTATACCATATTCCTCAGAGTGTAGTGTTGCAGGGAACTTACCAGGAAGATATTTGGTGGATACTACTGTGAAGGCAGGTAATGATGGAGAGGATTTATCTTCAGACATTGAAGATCTGTCAAGAATATCAGATGTAGAAAGAACTACAATAGTGAACAAAAGTGAAAGTTTTTATAATGTGGAACAAGTAGGTTCATCAGAGATTGTGTATAATAGTCCTAGACTATTGAAATCCAGTCAAGGATTTACTATTGTGGCAACTCATGAACCCACACCAGAATTACAAGAGGAATGCTCAAGCTGGGTACAACAGTTCCCACATTTCAGGTAAGCTTAGTACTGGCAGTTCTTAACTACACAGTTTATGAGAAACATCCAAGTTTGGTCATCTCTGTCAAAATAGTTTTTAGATTACTTGTAGCTCAGTAGTAGAGCATTAATATCCTAACAAAAGACCAACTGGCTCCAACAGAAATATGCTACAGTGCTTGGCTTTCTTGGCTTATCCAGAGATAGTAACTTTTGGGGGTTAATAAATAACCAAAGAGGTTTTTTTTAAATAGCTCTTCTAATCTTTTTATTTATGGTGCTAGGTATTATTAGCTAGTGGTTATTAAAACCACTATGCCATAATTCCCTTAATGTAGTTGAAGTGGTAGCTTGGCCCATTGCATGTATGCTTGCTTCAACCTCAGGACCACTTGGGCAGTTAGCAGCCTTTTGGAATAATTTGATCTCATCCTGGTTGCTTGAACCAGCTAATTTCCCCCTGATGCTGGGTCATCTTAATGAGGTGGTGGGGCTCAAGTGGTGTGTGCTTAGGGAGTAAGTTAGAATGCCACTCTTCTACAAAGGGTATCCTGGCTATGAACCCAACATCTCTTTCAGCATAAATAGCGAGGTTGATTCCCCTATCATCTAAATTTTCTTACACTGCTGATGTCTCCCGACTGAATCGTAGGCATGAATTGTGCAGTGTGAATAATAGAATTTGACTAGTTTACTAGCTTTATGATTATGATTACCCTAATGTAATATGAGTGTGAATTGGTCATGACAGTATTAAGTTGATGACAATAGAAACAGCATATATTCAAAGTGCTGAGCAACTTAATGGTTCTTTTGCTTGGTAAGTAAAATAAAGCAACAAACCTAGCTAGCTGTCTGGTGCTTGTTTAGTAATTAAAAAATTATGCATGTGGTAAAATCTTAAGTGTGAAATCATATTTCTTTTATGTGAGCATGAAAGCACTGCTGTGATGACATGATAATACTACTTACACCCAATACCAGGATGGTGTAAATAGGTTCACCTACATATACATGTACAGCGTTCTTTACTCGTAACTGCACTCACCTTTTGGGTATGAGACGGCCAAAAACATGATTAACAGCCTTATTATTCATGGGGGTCCTCAAATTTGCAATTAATAAGGCAGTAGATTGGAAGACAGCAATCATCGAGGTAAGTACTACTATCCTGTCATTTGAGTGTGTAATGGGAGCTTGTTAACACTTTTGCACTCTGGTAGGATTACTGATAATTGACATATCTTACAAGCCTCTACTGACATTCGGTACACACACATCTTTGCTTCCCTTCACCTTTAACCTTCTACCTGCTGGCACCTTGTCAACCAGCCTGTGGTTAGCTTTTTATAGATTTTTTTTATATTTTAGTGTGTTAAAAGATTCACAAAAATACAAAAACTCAGGACCACTGTTGAGAACATGCCATTTTACAGAGTTTTGTCAAATTTCTGAAGCCTAATTTCATTAGCAGCAAAAACTATGCATACTGTGGCACCAAATTCTTTATAATTTTAATCACACATAAAATTAGTTGTTTATTTTACTTATCATTTATTTTTATGGCTATGTACAGCGTGCACAAGTGTTTATTATTGTTTTACATGTGTTTCAGGGTGTGGTACTCCCTGAGTACTATTTGAGGCACAGTGCTACATCACAATCTATGCAATTTACCTCCTCATTCACCACTTTGGGCTCTGGTGTTCCTTGGTGTGGAAATCCTTCTCTCAGTTCTGGCAGGTGTCCTTATTCAGTCATAAATACTTCTTGGAATCTTGTATGTTAATAACTTTGTACAATATGCGGTACTCTACTGTACTGTTTAAAATTCTTGAGTTCATGATGTCCTGTGTATTTCAGTTTGAGTGCATAATAAATAAATGTTATTTTCCAGAGCACGAGGGTACAGCCTAAATTTTAAACTCTTACATCTTCTTGAAGATAATGTGGCTCTAGACAGTGTGTGAGTATTCTTTGTCATGTTTATGTAGTCTTTGTATTATATAGTAATTTCCCTGTGATTAATTTTGCAAGTTTAAATTTTTATGTTTGTAGGGGGAAAGCCTCTAATTGTTTTAAGCTGGATATGTATCAGATATTCTCTGAAAAGTATGGAATTATGGTGTGTGTGTGTGTGTGTGTGTGTGTGTGTGTGTGTGTGTGTGTGTGTGTGTGTGTGTGTGTGTGTGTTGTGTGTGTGTGTGTGTGTGTGTGTGTACTCACCTAGTTGTACTCACCTAGTTTTAGGTTGCGGGGGTCGAGTCCGAGCTCCTGGCCCCGCCTCTTCACTGATCGCTACTAGGTCACTCTCCCTGAGCCGTGAGCTTTATCATACCTCTGCTTAAAGCTATGTATGGATCCTGCCTCCACTACATCACTTCCCAAACTATTCCACTTACTGACTACTCTGTGGCTGAAGAAATACTTCCTAACATCCCTGTGATTCATATGTGTCTTCAGCTTCCAACTGTGTCCCCTTGTTACTGTGTCCAATCTCTGGAACATCCTGTCTTTGTCCACCTTGTCAATTCCTCTCAGTATTTTGTATGTCGTTATCATGTCCCCCCTATCTCTCCTGTCCTCCAGTGTCGTCAGGTTGATTTCCCTTAACCTCTCCTCGTAGGACATACCTCTTAGCTCTGGGACTAGTCTTGTTGCAAACCTTTGCACTTTCTCTAGTTTCTTCACGTGCTTGGCTAGGTGTGGGTTCCAAACTGGTGCCGCATACTCCAATATGGGCCTAACATACACGGTGTACAGGGTCCTGAATGATTCCTTATTAAGATGTCGGAATGCTGTTCTGAGGTTTGCTAGGCACCCATATGCTGCAGCAGTTATTTGGTTGATGTGCGCTTCAGGAGATGTGCCTGTGTGTGTGTGTGTGTGTGTGTGTGTGTGTGTGTGTGTGTGTGTGTGTGTGTGTGTGTGTGTGTGTGTGTGTATGTGTGTGTGTGTGTGTGTGTGTGTACTCACCTATTTGTACTCACCTATTTGTGGTTGCAGGGGTCGATTCACAGCTCCTGGCCCCGCCTCTTCGCTGATTGCTACTAGGTCCTCTCTCTCCCTGCCCCATGAGCTCTATCACCCCTCCCCTTAAAAAACTATTATGGTTCCTGCCTCCATACATCACTTTCTAGGGATTCCAGGGCCCTGACTACTCTATGACTGAAGAAATACTTCCTAACCCCCTTTGATTCATCTGATCTTCATTCCCAATTGTGCCCTTTTGTTCTGTGTCCCATTTTGGAACACCCTTTTTGTCCACCTCGTCTATTCCGCAGTATTTTTTTGTCTTTATGTCCCCCCTGACCCTCCGGTCCTCCAGTTCGTCAGGCCGTTTTCCCCCAAACCTTTCTTCATGGGACAACCCCCGTGCTCTGGGACTAGTCTTGTTGCAAACCTTTGCACTTTCTTTTAATTTCTTGACGTGTTGACTAGGTGGGGATTAAAAACTGATGCTGCATACCCCATATGGGCCTGACGTGGGGTAACAAGTCTTAAACGAACCCTTTAAATGGGGTTGGGAACGCTACCCTTTAAGTTTGCCAGGCGCCCGTAGTGCAGCAGTTATTGTTTGATGTGCCCCTCAGGAGATTCTCGGTGTTATACCACCCCCAGATTTTTTTTCCTTGAGTGAGGTTTGCAGTCTTTGGCCATCAAAATAATTGTGTTGCATCTTCTTTGCCCTTCCCGTCTTTATGATTTTCTTTTTGGCAGGGTTAAATTCAAGGACCCAGTTGCGGACCAGGCTTGAGCCTTCCATCTCTTTGTAGTCCTGCCTGATCCTCGTCGTTTTGTTTCTTCTCATTAACTTCACATATCTGCAAAAAGGACATTCGAGTGTATCCCTTCCGTTTGTCATTCACATATCCCAAGAAAAAGCACGGGTCCTAGGATGCCCCCTTGGAACCCCCTTGTCACGGGCGCCCCTCGGGACACCTCGTGCTCCCCATGACTCTTTGTTCCCCCCTCCCTGTCAGTTTTTCTTGATCCATTGCAGTCCTTTCCTGTTATGTGTGCCTGGTCCTCTAGCTTTTGCAGAACCTCTTGGGAGGAACTGTGTCGAACCCCTTTTTTTGCAGCCCAAAAATATGCAGTCAATCCCCCCCTTCCCCTCTTTGTCTTACTTCTGTCCCCTTGTCAAAAACTCTGTATTTTTTGTGAAAAGGATTTTCCTTCCCTAAACCGTGTGGTTGTCAATTAACACTTGTTTTTTTTCCCGGTCCCCCACCACTTTCTCCGGGGATCTTCTCCATGCCCCTTGCATACTATACACGTTAGTGATACAGGTCTGTAGTTTAGTGCCTATGTCGTCTCCCTTTTTAAAAATTGGGATACATTTCCCTTTTTCTACCCCAGGGAGTTCCCCCTTTCAAATATGTGTTGAAGGGTCTTTGTTAATGGCCACACAAATTTCTGCTCCCCTTTAAGGACCCATGGAGAGATTTTTGGTCCCACTGCCTTTGAGGTGTCAAGTTCGTAGCCTTCTTCCCCTCCTCCTTGGTTATAGTCCCTATCCACATTTTCGGGTGCCCCCCCCGTTCTGATTTTTTGGGAGTCCTACTGGTTTCCACGAAAATCCCTTTTTAATTTTGTGTTGAGTCCTAAACAACCTCTCGGTCGTTTCTTTTGAATTCCCCCATACCCTTCCTCATCTGTTCCCGGGCCCCTTGACTGTTGTTTTCCCCCTGAGTAGCTGTAAAAACAGCTTTGGGTCAGTTTTTACTTTGTGCTGTTCATTTTCATAATGTCTTGACCCCCCCTTCTTATCTGTCTATTCTTTTCTGGCCTTCAGTGATTTCTTTATTTTTCCCGGTTCTCGTTTCTTCCCTTTTTCCATTTTTTAGTAACCCAGTTTTGCCTCCCAAAACCTTTGGGTGAACCCAAAGGGCTCGTTCTGTTTTCCCATTATTTCTGTTTCCCCTTTGGGGAAAAAACCTCTCCTCTGCCCCCTTGCATTTTTTGCTACATGTCCATCATTTCTTGTACTGGGTTTTCCCGTCAGTTCCCTTTTCCCCTGAAAGTCTTTAAGGGGTTCCTCATGCCGAGTGTTCCCCCCCTTTTTTAGTTTGGGGTTTTCCCCGCCTATTTCCCGCACCTTCCACTTGGAGCTCAACTGGTAGTCGACACAGAACCACATATCCTACTCCCAGGGGCCCTTTTATACATGATACCCTCGTGTCCGAACTACTCATGGTGAATACAAGGGCCAACCTTTCTGGGTTCATCCTCTCCTCTCTCTCTGGTAGTGTCCTAACATGTTGATGCATGAGGTTTTCCCGTCCACATCCATCTCTTGGGTCTCCATGTTTCGGGACCCCCCTGGGCTCAGGTTTTCCCAGCAATCTCCTTGGATTGAAATCCCCCTAACTATAAATTTTCTCCCCCCCTGTGTGCTTCCCGGCCACCTCGCTAGTGTGTCGTCATTGTTTGTTGTCTCATCGTATTTTTTTGGCCTCCTGCATTCTGTGGTGGGGGTTTTCATTTCGCAATTATCACCTTATGTCCCCCCAGACTGGATTGTTCCTCTAAGTAGTCCCTTTTTGCCCCTGCCCTCCCTTCCTTCCATTTTTTCAAAAACCCCCCGGTTTTTTAAAGCAGTGCAACTCCTTTCCCCCCCCTCTCCCCCTCGTCTTCCTGAGGTTTAATCCGGGTGGAAAGATTTAATTGTTTTATTCGGTGAGTTTTGTTTCTGTGAGTGCTATTATGTCGGGGAGTCTCTTTGTTCTTTGTGCCATCCTATACTTGTGTTGTGTTGTGTGGTGGGTTTTTTGTACGTACTCGCCCAGTTTTACCACCTTTGAGGTTGCGGGGGCGAGTCCGGCTCCCGGGGCCCGCCTCTTTACTGTCAACTAGGTCCTCTCCTGATCGTGAGCTTTATCATCCTTGTTAAACTAGTATGGATCCCCGCCTCCACTACATCGCTTTTCCCAAAAATTTCCCCTTACTGATATCTGTGGGTGAAGAAATCTTTCCCAAAACCCCCGTATTACGTGTCTTCACTTCCAAACTGTGTTCCCCTTTTTACTGTGCCCCTCTTGGAAATCCTGTCTTTGTCCCCCTTGTCAATTCCTTCAGTATTTTGTATGTTGTTATCTTGTCCCCCCTATCTCTCCTGTCCTCCAGTTGTCAGGTTGATTTCCCTTAACCTTCCTCGTAGGCATACCCCTTAGCTCTGGGACATTTTGTTGCAATCTTTGCACTTTCTCTTATTTCTTTACGTGCTTGGCTAGGTGTGGGTTCCAAAGGGGCGCATACTCCAATATGGGCCTAACGTTCATGGGGTACGGGCCCAACATTTCCCTTATTTAGATGTTGGAATGCTGTTCTGAGGTTTGCTAGGCGCCCATATGCTGCAGCCGTTATTTGGTTGTGTGTGTGTGTGTGTGCGTGTGTGTGTTAGTTACCATTTCATCCTAGGCACATGTCGATGTGTGTGTGTGTGTGTGTGTGTGTGTGTGTGTGTGTGTGTTAGTTACCATTTTGTCCTGGGACATGTCAATTAGACACTGGGCCTGTGGTATATGCGTGTGTGTGTGTGTGTTTTGTGTACTCACCTATTTGTACTCACCTATTTGGGGTTTGCAGGGATCGAGTCACAGCTCCTGGCCCCGCCTCTTCGCTGATTGCTACTAGGTCCTCTCTCTCCCTGCCCCATGAGCTCTATCATACCTCGCCTTAAAACTATGTATGGTTCCCCCCTCCACTACGTCACTTTCTAGGCTATTCCATGGCCTGACTACTCTAGGGACTGAAGAAATACTTCCAAAACATCCCTTTTTGATTCATCTGAGTCTTCAATTTCCCAAATTTGTGCCCTCTTGTGTCTGTGTCCCCTCTCTGGAACACCCCATCTTTGTCCACCTTGTCTATTCCACGCAGTATTTTATATGTCGTTATCATGTCTCCCCTGACCCTCCTGTCCTCCAGTGTCGTCAGGCCGATTTCCCTCAACCTTTCTTC